GTACACTCGCTGATACGGATCACCACGGACTGAGAGAAGAAACGGACTGTCAGTATCGAAAAGTCAAACTTTATTTATAATAGGTATATATGCCTTGTGAAGACCTTCAGTGTCAATTTGTAAATTTAAACTATTTTTCTGCTTTTTAATATTGAGCATCTCGGAAATTAAGCGTTTCCTATAGCAAGGCTCTTCATCTAAAATTTTAACCTTATCCATTGGAAATCATGATCATACTGTAGTCTGTGCTCCGTTATGACAGAACGGACAGAAGTGTTGTGTCTAATGTGATTGTGATGTTCTATAATTCTAGTTTTTAATTGTCTGTCCGTCTGTCCAACATACGACGCATCGCAATTATTACACGATATCTTGTAGACTACATTGCTCTTCGATGTATGTGGACAAATATCCTTCTGTACTTTTATATATTTGCCTATTTTATTAGGACTAAAATGGAAAAATACCTTGATATCGTTTTTATTGAAACGTTTAAATTTTTCCGTGTGAAAAGGAATAAATGGTACCATAATCCAAGAAGCAGATTCGTTCGCACAGACATTTGTCAGCCAAATCTTTCTGTGTTGTATGTCTATTTTTAATTAAATTTTTTATACGTTGATTAACTGTATCATAAATAAAAGTCAATGGGTAGTCATTATCTAATAAAATGTTAATAATAAATTTTGTGTATGAAACATAAAGTCAAATAGTAAAAAAGCTCTGTCAACTAGCGAAAAAATTGTCCCTTTTTTTGTGCCATGGGGATTAGAATTGAAATTCAAAGACCTCCCTGAAAAGGTCGGCTTACGGTACCAATCAAAAATAAAACTGTTCCCATTGATAGATATAGTGACATCCAAAAAATTAATTCTTTCTCCCCCTATTTCTGTAGTAAATTGGAGACACGGATGAAATGAATTAAATTGTTTTAGTAAATCAATTTTAGAGGGAGAAACCGCGGTACAAATGTCATCTACGTATCTGTAATAAAACACAATATCCAAATCCAACGACATCAAGGACACCTTCTCTAGTCTCCTCATTACTAGGTCCTCTATTACAGGTGATAAAGGAGAGGCCATGGGAGGAAATCGTATATTCTCGTTGGGAGACAGCGAGGTTACTCACCACATAGAAAAGTAAAACTTCTATAAAAATCAGTCTGTCTATGAGCATCTATTGAACTCAATGTATAAAACTTTTTTGATCATTAAATTTTTACAATGTGAAAATTTACAGTTAGACCTGTCGTTATGTAGCTTAATTTTCCAGCTATAATAGTGTTTAAATGCTGTGATGTAATATTATTGTTAATACAATGTTTTATAAAACGGATGTATAAATGATTCGTAAAAATCTTTCTACGATATTTAATCCATAATTTGAGACATCTGACTGCATGAGACCCGTAACATTGATAAATAAATTTAAAAAATGAAAAATGTGTTATACGCATTGTTACAGCCTGCGTTCAAAACAATAAACGGATTGAAGGACTCTTCCTATATAAAATAAATAATAATAAATAAAGGGCAAAGTAAGAGTCAACACATTTCTTTAAAAAAATTCCACAATTAAAAGGATATAATACAAATAACGAAAGGTAAAATTACACTTCTTCTTTAAGTCAATAATTATCTAATCTTAAACAACTTGAAAGTCTATTCCACTTTGAAGGTATAAATACAGTTCGATATAAGTTATTTATTAATCATCTTCAGAAACTTATTAATCATTACGACTTTGAGAGCATTTAATAGATCGAAATTAAGTAATGTTTTATCTACGAAGAATAATCCTCAAATGCAAATGAATTTTGTGAGCGTTTTAATACGTTGAACTACTTAGATAATTTTTTTACCTGCGAAAAAACCTCAAATATAATTTTACTTTTAGGACATATTTTAAGTTGGAATTTGTTCTTGTTCGTTTTTTCTTTATTCATTCTTGTCGTAATTAGGGCAATTTTACTTCGACTTGTTCAAGATACCCTGCTTTTGCTGCTTAGGGAATTATAACAAACAACTCATTTCAGAATCAATTTTTATTAACAAACAAAAAAATGGACCAAATGTGCAGGAAGATACAGAATTTCTAGATCCAATATACAGGGTGGTCCAAAAGTCCGTTAACATTTGAATCGGCAGCTGCGTCGAGCAGCGAGGGAGAGGTGGGGCGGGCGAGATACGGAATGTTAGAGCGGTCGATGGGAATTTAGTGCCATGGCGTCATTCAACGAGAAACAACGTGCATTCTGCGTACGCGAGTACTATCGAAACAACGATTCTTCGACTGTAGCGCAACGAAAATTTTGCGCTCATTACAATATACGGCATAAAAATAAAGCTCCATCGATTCAGTCGATTAAAAAATGGGTCCAGAAATTTGAAGAAACTGGTTCAACAATAGATAAACCACGATCTGGCCGACCTAGAACATCACGGGATCCAACGACTCTTGAGGAATTAAAGGCTCGTATTCGCGAGGAAATGCAAAACATTTCCCGAAACACTTGTCAGTCGGTCATTGAAAATTTCTGCTCCAGGTTGCAGCAGTGTCAAAATAATGAAGGATCGCATATGGACGATGTTATTTTTAAGAAATAAAATCCCAAATTGTGTACTTTCAGAATAAATAAACATTTTTTCTTACATATAACTAGTTTCTTTTTTATCATCGTATGACATGTTAACGGACTTTTGGACTAACCTGTACCAAGATTTATTTAAGAAGTTTTGATATTTCCATGTTTTATTTCTCTGGTTTATTATATAAAATATATATATACGAGTATACTGTATTTATTTATTACCACGTTATATTTATATTGTATTTATTTATCACTATGTTTTATACCTATGACTAACGACATTGATTTTGACCTCTCACATACTCTTTGAACGTCTTTGTGCTAACGTCTTATCTCACATATCATCGTTAATATTATTATACGTAAGTTCTTTGTTGAATTGATTTAATTTATGCTATAATGACTTATTCAACTTTATTAAATTACAAATAATTTAAAATATTAGATTTGAGTATTTTGTTAGATACGACAGACAGCATTATTAGCAATTTATGAATATATAATATATTAACAATACTCCAATTTGCTTTGCATCGCATCTTTTAAATGTCACCGATTTTATTTTTATTTTTACACTGAGGAAGATCCAATCGAAAGGTTGAAACGTTTGTCAATTTTTCTCAAGAATAAAGTATACAATTTCACACACACCTAATCTGTGTTGGCTCACATTGGCTGATTTACATCTATCCTTGAATCCTTCCTTGAATCATTCAAGAATTCATACAAGAACACAATAAGAATACTTTAAAAAGTTTCATTTACCATGTTTCGAATTTCTGAAGGTGCCTTTTCATACGCAGCACGCTGCGGCAGCAATTCGTTATTATTGGTTAAAAATTTTACGTGAAATGACATACTTACGGCGCAAAATACATTTTGTCGCAACTCGTTGAAGTTGAACCGAACGAACAGCAAGTAGTAGTAAATGGCAGTAAATGTCTGCAAAATAGAGGGAAAGTGTGCAATATTTTGAGAAGCTTTCGATTAAGAAAATATAAAATACGAAAAATAGCATCGGATAAAGTACGGAAACATGTATGTATGTAATTAATTATTTTTGATAAATACTAAAATCACCTTATAACTTGCTTTTATCGATAAAAGCGCACTTTTATCTTTAAAATTCTATAGTATGCATAAATTATAGTATGTTAGCGCGTTAACATCGTTGTAAGCTCATTCTAAATACGGGCCATAATTTAGAAACTTATAGTTTATTTTACAACTTTGGTGCTCTTGCTTCTTAAAGCGTTTTACTTTAACTTAACCAAATTTACACAACAGTTACAATAATTGTTTACAATATTTATATCATTTACATTCTCGTTGTCATCGACAGATTGAGATTATGATTTGCTTTTATGTTCGATTTATTAGTATTTATTGAAAATAATTAATTAATTATAAACATACAACTTATACTACTAGAGGGGGAATGCCCTATCCAATCAATAAGTAGAAAATGTGAACAAGACTTAGAAACAGAAGATGTATATTTCTGTCCTGCTCAGTAACTTCTCTTCTTTCTATGTACGTGCCAAAAAAGGATAGAAGAAGACAGAAATAGATCTTTTGTCTCCGAGTCTCGCTCACAACTCGACGTCCATATTCCCCCTTTAGTAGAACAAGCTCTATGATTATAAACATGTTTCCGTGCCTTATCTGATGCCATTCTTCGTATTTTATATTTTCCATGGAGAATAGAGACTAAAGCGGGAAGCACAGATTCTTGCATAACGCATAACACATAAGGCATAAGAAATTGAACCAACTAGAGGAAAGAAAAGAAACGGAGGACTTCGATTGGTATATTTTCTTATGCATTACGTGTTATGCATAAGAAAATGAATCAAAGTCTTTTATTTTCTTCTTTCCCATGAAATAAAGAACTCTAATTGGTTGATGTTTTTATACTTCATATTTTATGCGTTATGCAAGAGTCTGTGCTCTCCGCTTAAAGAAACCGACCTAGAGTTTGAAAAGTGTGGTCAAAATAAGATTTCTAAATTAGTATTGGTGCTCGATAGGCGGCGTTCAAATCGCAAAACTCCTCTCGTATACGCTTACGCACATACAAGTATACTTGTACAACCAAACACACGTAACCTAAGAATAGAGATGTTATTCTTTGACATCATGCTATGAAAATAACAGGAAGACGGAAATTTACATAAATTGTCATTAAAACTGCATAAAGAAAGGAGCATTCTTCATGTAAAATTGGTTCGCCTTACCATGCAAACTGCGTGAACGGTGTCGTGGAAC